CTGGCTTGCACACTCGGGATCAATGCTTGTAATTTGATAATTCCCAACCCACCATCCTTTATGCTGGAATATAGAATGGCGTCACAAGTGCTGGCTGGTAGATGTAACCATTTCTTAACCGTCATTCTAATCTTTAAGTCTAATGCTTCCAAAGATCCAGATTTTATCTCTGTATGGTCAGCTAAATATATTATTCGAGGGATCACGTATGTTTTCAGCATATCCACTTTTTGAAATGGTTTAAGTGGTGCTTCACTAACGCGGCATAACCATGTTTCTATTCTTGATGATAAATCTGATTTAGCTATTTGTATCCACGGATCAATCTGAACGCCAAGATATTTCTCAGAGCTACCCGGATTAACCATATTAATGGGTGTCCCATCTATAGTCCATGGTGGACAATCATTAATAGTATATGCCTCTCTAGTAGGCTTTATCAGAAAACCATGGCATTTCTCCCCTTGTGTCTTGAGACCAGTTAAATCACAAAATGTCTCAAGAATCTCGATGTTCCTCTTCATACCTTCCCAGGATCCACTAAGTAAAACCAAATCGTCAGCAAAAGCCATTGCCGTAATAGATTTATTTCTAAACTTGAACCCTTCTCCATATTGTTCCAATTCGCACAATAGGGGATCCATAGCCAAATTAAATAACAAAGGAGACATAGGGTCCCCTTGTTTAACACCCACATTAATTTGAATTGGGTCTAATTGTTTATTATTGATGCCAATTCGGGTGTAAATATTTTCGTACATATTTGCAATCAGATTAATTATATGGGCATCTACCCCTTTTTGTTTTAGACCTGTGATAATGTGTTGATGGTTTATTGTATCAAAAGCTTTCGCAATATCAACGAATACCACTCCCAGTTCATTATGCTCTCTTTTCGCATTTTTCATAAGAAGTTGTAATAGCTTTAAGTTTTCAGAGCATCCCGGCGATTTTATAAAACCCCTTTGTCTAGGGTTTATAGGGCACGCCTTTATTAGCCTAGCCGTCAATATCCTTGAAAATAACCTTAAAATTACAGACCCGATCGTAATGGGTCTCCAATTATTGATGTCCTTAAGACGGTCTGGCTTAGTTGACTTCGGTAGTAATACCGTTCGGCATTCCCTTATGATATCTGGTATCCTTCCCGATGTTAACCATAAATTAAACATTTCTGTTATTTGTGTAAATTTGGGATCCATTTTAATTAATTCTCTTACTGTGATCCCATCCGGCCCGGGAGCTGTATTTTTATTCATCTCATTAATATTCTTAATGATTTCTTTTTCGGTAATCATGGCTTTAAAAACGTTATTATCAGCCATACCTATAGATCGAAAATTTCCAAGATTTTTAAATCTCCCAGTTGTTTCCCATCTAGTTTTAAACACCGAATGTACCTCTGGGAGTGGTATTTCACATTTCACAGACTCTATATCATCAAGGATTATTCTTGCCAATTTTCCTCGATCTTTATAAAATAGTTTCTGAAATCTCAAGTATTGCCCCTTTTTGATTGCCCTCTTTTTCATCCAATTTGCTGCTTTTCTCTTACTTTGTGGACCCTGTATCTGCCCTCTCTCCATTTTCACATCCGATGTTTCCCTTCTTCGACACCTAGCCTCGAGGTGCCCATACCATTCTATCGTTATATCATTAATTATTGCATGAACCTCTGGTTTCCCTTCAACAATTTTCTGAAACACCCTTGAATAGTTATTCATCTTTCTTGATTTTAGCCCTTTTGTAATCATTGCCAGATAATGTACCCGTAGTTGATCCGGGCTAGGCGTTTCTATTTCTAGATGTCTTTTTCTTTTATCAACCTGTACATAACCATCCCGATCTTCCCTTTCTTTTTGTACAGGGAACATATGCCGCCTTTTATCGCTGATTTGCTTGATTGTCTTAGATGGAATATGTTCAGCGATTAATTTATTAATATATTTCTCTCCCTCATATTGCTTAACCAATTTCTCCAATAATTCCTCTTCCTCCTTTGACCAACACTTGCGGGAGGATTCCCGAGCTGTTCTCTCTTTAGGGCGAGTAGCAGCAATTCTTTCCTGATTTCTAACTTCTGGGTGACTCAGCCTTTTATGCTGTCCCAAGCCTCTATTAGTTTGAAAACTCCTCCCACACACCTCACAAATCCAATCACCAGATGGACCCATATCAATAGCACCTTTACACTTAGGATAGTGACAAACAATAGAACGATAATTATCACTTTGCAGATCGCACTTAATACATTGGAAAACGGTCTTTCTTATTCCATGCGATCGAAGCAAATGGTCTATGAGTCTCTCTACTCCCGCTATTTTGGTCTTACAACAAGGACAAGATGGATTTTTGTCGGGTAATCTCACCAGTGGTATCTTTCCTGGCGATCGATTTTTCTGGGAGTCTAGAGCGGGTTCTGTTGCGAGCATAAATGAGTCATCCTCATCTCCGTTTATCTCATTATTATTGTCAGAGATATTGTTCTCATTGTCTCTGA